ATAGTGAATATTTAAGTTTACCTCAAAAGCTGAATAGAAAACCACGACCTAACCTAACCGTCTTAGTTTGTGAAGGTAAGAATTTTATTGCATCTTAGTTATAACTACTACTTAACCTATAGCTATATTGATATTACAGTTTTATAAAACAAATAAAACAAAACTAAAATATTTCAATAAATTGTAAAGTAACTTGGGATATTTTCAAATTTTGTATAAAATCTCTATTGTTTAAAAGTGAAAAATAATAATAATGTTATCCTAATATTTAAAACTTGTTTATAGCAACTGAGCTTTAAAATTTCATCTTAAAATTTTAAGTGTCCTAACAGAAAACAAGGAGATTTAAATCAGGGGAGGGGGATGGGTAAATGTAACAGTCCCATAAGTGCAGTTATGTACTATGTATAACAGTCAGGAAATGCACTTATTACACTTAGTATTAAAACGTACTGTCAGTTCGGAGGATGGGTTGGTGAACGACAACTGAGAATGGAGCTCCAACACATAATAGGGAGGACAGAGAGGAGGCAGGACCTCAAACCCTACAAAATAGGAAATTAAACAGCTGAATGGTAGGAAGGAAAACTACAAGCCCCTGGAAATCAGATGGAATATTCAAGCCTAGACAGGCAGAAATGTGCTCCAAGGGTCACTCAACGAAAAAACACAGGAAAAAGGACCTGCAACCCAGGGCAAAGCAGGTAAGCTGAAATAAGCCACTGCCACCCACCCCCCCCCCCCCCCCAAAAAAAAAAAAAGATATTGAAGTTGCTGCCTCCAGAAGCTGCAAGCACAATAGGCACAAAATTTGTCTTTAGTTTTAAATGAAACATGGCTAATGAAAGACTTCACCCACTTATATACTCTAGCTAAAATGTGACCAATCACAATATTTGACAACAAAAAGGGCAGAGGTACTGCGATATAATATTAAAATAACTTTATCTTTGTATGCTCAATTTGCAGTCGGTAACTTAACTGACTACCTGCCATAAGCATAAATACCTTAAGAATAATGGTGCTACCTTCCTATTCTTGCTGAGGCAACTAGAGATGATGCTCCTCAGGTCAATTCAAACTTTAATCAATTCTTGATTATCCTTTTTTTTCAAGGCCAAGTATACCAGAAATTGCATTTTTATAAATAAACAGTTCTATAGACTATGAGAAAAAAAAGTAAACATTCTATATCCTGATCATGTTTGCAAAATAAGCTTACTATGAAAAAATGGGGCAAAATGTCTTGGCACAAGCATTGGTAATGCTAATAATAGCCTAAGTGTGAAAATATGTATAAGCAAAAATATTCAAAGCTCCATTTACTTACAGTATTAGGTGCAGCCAAAATACACAACTTCAAAAAATTACATAAATTAATGCACGTAGGAAAAAAAAAAGCTATATAATGCTAATTTTTACCTCTGTGATGGCAGGAGGAATCGTTGGATGGCATAATACGTCATCTTTGAGAGGCTAAAAAGTAATTACTGTGTATCAAGATGCGAAACCTGTGACATGTGAACGATCAATATAAATATAGCCCCTAAAACTAAGTACGCTGCGCATCATTCAGGTCCATCTATACTGTACTGGCTTTTTCCATGAGGAAAGAGGCAATTTCTTCTTTAATAACTAATGCCCGGACAAAGTTTAGGCTTTTGCTATAACTTTAAGTGCTGCAATCAACCCTTAAACATGTACTGTATAACCTAATAAAGTTCTTAAATTTTATTAATTTAATTTTTTCTTCTTTGCCACAATAAACTTTCATAGCAGGAGAATCTAATTGTATACAGCAAGGAATAACAAAATGATCAAAGTTGGGAACCTCAAAGTCTAGCTGCATGTCTGTAAGCTATGTATATGGCACTATAACTCATGCAACATATTTCATGGTGTTATTACTCTCAGCTGAATTTATAAATTGTAGTTTACCGTGTTTATCATTTTATTCAAATTTTACGATTTTGTGTATGGATGTGAAAATGGTTTTTAATTATACAATATCTGCATTTCTGGATTTATGGCTTATATCAGCTATAAAGCAGTGGCACATGAACCAAATAAATTACGGAAATTAGTTTATATATTAATAATTCATTAACAGCCCTTCATACAGGTGCTTATGAAAAAAGAGCCTCGAGGCATCCCTACCTGAGCATGTTGTTACAATCTGTTCTATAACCCCTTATGTCCTCATTGGGGACCTACACCTGTATGCAATCCTCCATTTTTCCTTGGTCTATGCCCCATATTTATGAGTTTTGCCTTATCATTTGTCACAACCCCATGTCTTTGCTTCTCTATGATAGTTCATGGTTATCAGTTCATATTATCAAAAATACATCAATCGTACTTAATAGCCAGAACGCACTACAGTACTTGGCTTAGTATGCAAGGCCCAAATTTGCCTAACAGGCAAATTTTCCTTATTAAATTATGTCATCCAAAAGACATTAAATTAATAAGCTTAAGAAACTGTGGAAACCCAGGTCAAGTGTTTTAGGCATTCCTTTAAAAATCTTAAACTTCTGGAAACTGTTGAAATTTCTAAAGAGCTGAGCATGAAAGAAGATAGGAACATTGTAAAGGTTTTCAGTTTAGGCAAGTACAAGAGGGGCGAGAACAACTACTGAAGGTAATATTCACAAAGACAGTAAAACGGAACATTTTAGGGATGGAGAGCATGCTCTTACAGTAAGAGGACTACAATGTAGTATTTATCCAAGAGGAATATGATAAGGGAAGAAAGAGAGCTGCAGAATGAGACGAAAGCACAGAAGGGGAATGGGGAAGCCCACACTCCCCAGCTTGATAACCCCAGGTCAACTACAACAGCATTATAAATCATTTCCCTCCCCACCCTTTCCTAACCCCCTGTTCTACCATGTATTCAATCCTCATCACACTCGCCTTCACTTTTCCTGAGCATGAGCTACACCCCTAAAGTCCCTAAAGCAGTGGTAAATCATGCCCAGTATCCCCTCCCTCAACTCTCCAAACCCAATCATCCCCACCTCACCACATACTTCACACAATGAAAAGTTGTCCAAGCCAGGGGGACATGATGACAAATTGAAAGTGAGAATGCAACAAAAAAGAATTTTGCTTTGAAGCCATATACACCAATATTGACGGAATTACAAACAAAAGCAAATTAAAAAAATGTACAACTGAGGATATAACCCTGATGTAATTGCATTCACAGAAATGAAACTGTCAAGAATCATAACTAATGCAGTCCTTTCCCAAGACTACCATGTAGTGAAAATGGAAACCAGAAGAGGAGTTGCCTTCTTGAGGCAAGTAGCACTTGAGGACTTTGAAATAACTGGAGATGAAGTAAAAAAGAACCTGATGGAGCTAGACCTGACTAAGGCTGTGAGACCAGATAAGATATCACTATGGATAACAAGAGGAGGAGCTGAAGCCTTGTGCTGGCCACTTATTACAATATATAACAAGTCACTGGAAATAGGAGATCTGACAGTTGTAACATGGCCAATTTAGTGCCAATAAACAAAAAAGGAAAGCAGACAGGAGGCAATAAATTACAGACCTGTGATCCCTTACTTGCATATCATGCAAAGTGATGGAAAAGATAATAAAAAAGCTAGGGCTAGTAGAACATTATGAGAGAAGGGACTCATGCTGGTGTTAAGGGAACTTAACACCAGCATGGTTTCAGAGATTTGCAAATCCTGCCTTGCAAAACTTGATGAATGGGCAGCTGAGATCAGACAAGATAGAGAAGGGTGGGCAAATTTTATATTCTTGGGCTGTCAGAAATTCTTTGACACAGTCGATTTATGCACAAAATAATGAAACATACAGTAGTGACAGGGAAGGTTCTCCAGTGGATAAAGAAATATTTCTGCAACAAGAAATGATGAGTCAGTGTAAAGAGATCTCAGAGTGGTGGGATGTTACCAGTAGCTTTCCATAAGGGTCGGCTCTTGAGCAGATTCTATTCCTAATGTATGTGAACGACCTACCAAAGGGAATAAATTCCTTCCTCTCAAAGTTTGCTGACGATGCAAAACTTATGAGGATAAATACAATGGAAGACTGCATGAAACTACAAGAGAATCTGGACAAAGTGAAAATTTGGTCCCTCAAGTGGCTACAAGAGTTCAACCCTAGCAAATGCAAATTAATGAAGCTGGGTACAGGAACTCTGAGACTGGACACAAGATATCATATGGGAGAGGAAATCTTATTGGGAGCCAAGAGAAAAAAAAACTTAAGATCATATTACCGCCAAGCTGTCACCAGAATCCCAAATCAAAAGAATATCATCAGCAGCATACAGAAGGTTGGCTAATATAAGAACTGCCTTTAAGAGTCTGAACACAGATGTTCAGAATCTTGTACTGTATATTGTTTATACTGGACTAATTCTGGAATGAGGTCTTTAATCTCAAACACAAAACAAAGCTTGGGAAAGATCAAAGGTATGCCACCAGACTAGTCCCAGAGCTGTGAGGTATGAGCTATTAGGCAAAACTAAAAGCCTTAAACCTCAAATCACTGAAAGACAGACGAAAAAGGGAAGACAATTACCATATAAAATACTCGGGGGAATATACAGGGCAGACAAGGCCAGACTATGTAGCATGCTTTAAGAACAACTGCAAAATGCATGGTCATTTAGCTAGTTAGAAAATGTTCCCTAAAAAATGGTATAGTCTATATACATACGTGCATGCATGCATACTTATATTGTATGATATTTAATGTTAATTGTTTTATATTATGGTTTAGTAGTGCCAGAAGTCTATTCCTCTCGCTACTGTCAAGTGGCTAGGGTTTACTGCAGTCACTGAACATTGTAATCAAATTTACTTTCTTAGCAAAAGTTTAGACCTCACCATGTGAAAAACACTAAATGTATCAGCATTACAAGTCTAATTACTAAACAAAAGCCCACAAACACATACACAGCTGCAAGAGTATAAGCATCATACATTACGAACACTATAGAGTACTGTACTTACCAAAGCAGAACATCTGTCGATACCGTGCATATCCTGCAGCACCCACCGCCGCTACAACTATCACAAGGACAATTATGATGCCTGCAACTGCTCCTCCACTTAGGGCATCTAGGGTTAACAAAGATTACAAAATGCTATATAAAATATATAAAATAGGGAGGTATATATACTTCAGAACAAAATAAAATGTGAAGTTAATACACCTCTATTATACAAATATATATTATGCTTCTTTATAAACCACTAAAGACACAAAATAAAGTCAATGAATGAATGACAAATGTAAGTCGGTGCTAACTTCATACGGTACTTAAGCACAGCTAATGCTAAATACAATTTAATGATCTTAAGACTAAAGAAACTTACTGCCTTTGTAGTATGCATGCCAGATGAAAAGAAAAATAATGCAAGGAACATGCAACGTAAATCATGCAACAGTAACCCTCTGTAGATGGTAAGACTCTGAGGAAAACCATAGTGTCAGGTAGTTTTTGTGAACTGTTTTCTATAAAGAATTTCATCGTTGCCTTGCTCCTTTACGACCCAGCCTAATCTTTCTCTTTCTTTTGCATTCACCCTTGCTTAAGAGTACAGTGTATGAATTTATGATTGTATGTACTGTTCATATGTAAAAACACAAATATAAATATACTAAACATACATATAGTATGGTATACATGGGCTAGGACATAAGTATTCCACATTAATTAAATGTTAATAGTGTACTGCAATTTTATTAAAAGGGAAAAAGAATGTTTTGGGAGGTGTCTGAAATATATCCTCCCCCCCCTTCCCCCCCACCCAGCCCACAGTAAAGTTACTTTGAATTCAATTGGTGACTTGGTTTTTGGATGGTGTTTTTTTAGTGAAGCATCAACTTTTAAAATAGGGGAAAGTTGTACTTTAGAAAATTTTAGGCTACCTGTACACAGTATGCCAACACATGGAAAAATAAACTATCTTCATTACCCAGAATGACTGATTCTTCTGTATACCTTCCGGGTGCACCCATTTTTCAATGCATTAATTTTGAGCATATGTTTAGCACAATCAGTATACTGTACTGACTAATACTTAAAATTATTGGCAGTCAGTGAGCCTAGATTGAAAAAAAGCTTACTTTGCTGTTTTAATTTTAGATTTAATATGGATTTTCAGTCACTGTATTTGAGAAAATGCACCCAGTGGGAACTGTTGGTTGAAAGTGATTGATATTACACTGCTTATATATATATATATATATAACACCGATTCCTTTAATCAACAGTGTCCACTGGGCAGTTGGCCTTCAATGTGCAAGATGACATAAGGCAAGAGTGTGACACAGTACTGGAATGTCAGGCAGTATAAATACACCAGGTACAATAACCAAGATGTGAAGCTCTACTAAAACCGTAAACTGTGTAGCTGACGGCTGGCTGACTGTACAGTAACAGTTGTTGATTTTTATATCATTTATAATATGGTATAATTACTTAAGTGCATGAACCCTGTATTTGTTTATTGGCAACACTAATCTGCATTCCTAACCTGATATATCTGACATTAAACTAGATTGAATCCTTCCAATGTATCATTGTCCTCTGAACCAGGTCAGGTTGCATTTTAAAGAAGTGATGAAACCACTCTCAATCACACTATTCTCACTAAAGATGCATGTAAACTGTGAAATGAACCTATTGTAATAATGTGGCTAAAGATATGACCAACCCACACATCAGAAGATGTAGAAACTACAACATTTCGGTCCGTCCTGGACTGAAACTTGTAGACTTGAAAATGGTGACGGATAGAAATGTCGTAGTTTCTCCATCTTATGGTGTGTGGTTTGATCATCCTATTGTAATTGTGTAAGTACGTTACAGTTTATATATACAACTTGATAATGAGGGAGTTCAATAAATTTTCAGCAGCAACTACCTAACGTATGTGACAAGAGGCAGACACAATATGTAGGTGTAGTAAAGGTCCAGGAATCATAAGTCATTGTGGACAGACTGATCAAGTTTTAAATCCCCATGTTGTGATCAAATCCATATACATGTCAAATACAGTATTATTATAGGATCAATCAAATATAAGCCAGGATTTCTGAAAATGACAGATGTGCAAATTCAATCAAATTTATGGCCAGAATATTGGTATACTCAATCATTCATTACAACTGTTAAAAGGATGAGCAACCTTTGTATGTCGAAACAATGCATCAAAATTCTCGTCTGTTTTAACAGCAATATTTACTTTATGATTTGAAGACCAGGACTTTACCCATAATAAATTTGCATTCTTTAGATGTGATGTTACTGAATATATAATATTGCTTGAAATTTTGTATCCAGTCTTAATTAACAGTTTGGTATGGATGGTGTTGTAACTAAATACTACATCTACACTTAAGTAATTTCAAGGTTTGGACAAGCATATTTTTGAAGTTAGAAGATGATGGTGAAACACTATAAAATGTATTTTGTCTATGTAATACAGTATTAATTTTACTGTAATAATTTAGGTAATAGATTTCTTAACTTGTTAAGGCAACTACAACATAGATATGGGATTTCACATGTTACTATTAATTAAATTAACAGATTATATAAATTATATGACAAAGAATTGCATACCCCATGCTTTTTTGGGGGGGATTTTGCTTTGATAAAGAATAAGAAATTTTACTGCTAATAATAAATAATTTTTTTTTTACCATACTAACCAAACTTCAAAGATATTGTCCAAAGCTAAATACTGTATTACTAAGGCGAAAGTATTTAGTTATAGCACCACCCTTCAGATATTGTTAATTAAGAACATTTCTAAAATTAATATGTAATTTCTAGAATCTAATGCAAAGAATTCAAATTTATTTATAATGGAAAAAATCAATAAAAACCTGACATACCTACAACTCATTTATTTAAATAGGATTATCAATATTAAATTTGGAAAGTAGAATAACTCTGCACTTATGCAAATGTGAAATGGATATAATATGAATGCAAGTCCTGGTCCTGGTTTAGCTTTGAGCCTATAATTCCTCTTATGAACATGAAGTTTAAGGAATTTGTCAGATTGCATGCACAGTGAACCTTCTGTTACCTGGTCCTCTAAGGCACTTTACAGCCTGGTAATATTTGTTATGCGGTTACTTATAAAGATGTACTGAAAATGTATGGAATGATATCTAAGTATCTCCTTTTATTTTCTTTTGTGGTGGATGGATGTGAATGGGGGTAGGGTTGTGTGTGTAGTAATGTACATACAGTATATAATATGAAGTAAGAAATTAGATCCAGATTACTTTGTGGTTGTTTGAGATACTATACAGTATTTACTTCTTAGAGGAGATAGGAAATGATTGTTAATATATTTTGAAGTACAGTAAGAATATTTCTTACTAAAATAGTGTCAATGAGGATTCTTTGTTATGCATGCTTCGTGCACTAATTCTGACCATGATATATAAAAAAATAACATACGTCTTACCCCCACAAATGAATGATTCTCAAAGGGCCTTCCAAACATAGATCTTAGTCTACCTTTCCTTAACTTGTCAACTGGTATGTCAAAGATCTTCTGAGTTGTTAGTAAGTGGGTCATTGGGTAATGTAATGACTGTTAGTTAACATAGCAAGAACAGTGTCCGAGAGTGGCAGAAGTAGCAAGATTACGAGAGAACAAGGCAACTGGCTCGGCAAGGAGGGACGTTAGCACCCTGACTTACTTGACTCCGTCTCATCATCGAAAACAATACCTTCAGACACTGATAATTCTGTGGGTGGGATTTTGTCATAGTTGCTTGTTTCAGAGTCACCATCTAGGGGAGAGACAAGACACACACTGAGGTTACACCACAATGGATGCAAAGTGAGACAAAAACGAACTTTCGGTAGTAGGAAGTTTCAAAGCGAGGAAAAAATAGATTTAGAGTAGGTAAGCAATATATTTTTTCATGGTTTTTCTGAAAACCATTCTGATGTAATGTATTAATTTTGATTTCAAAATTTAAGAGAAAAGATCTGTGTCTTCTTAAGTCCTTTTCATGTCACCCAAAGACTTAATGTGCATTCTTTAAAGCTTAATATTAATAGCACCTATTGGTAGGTTTCAGAACTGTTAGTGACAGTCCAAGTTTCCTCGGCACATGAGAGGAACTCAGGTTAAGGAGCAAGTGTACTTAGTTAGCTCGGCTGGTCACAAGTACAAAAGTTGTTACCCATATTGAGTTGCTTACCCTTTTACTAGCCACCAATGGAAAAATGAACGCTTGGATAAACCATGTGCAAATTGACTATTCTGGAGGATTTAATTGACTGGTAAATTAGCAGTCAGCAATGTGAGGCAAAGTACCTTTAAACAAGGGTAAGTGCTACTATTATATGTACATACTGAAAGGCTCAGCTATTTGACCTAATGCACTTTGTTGGTAAGCCTTGTGTATACAATCACTGCCAATTATTTTAATTACAGGTACAACAATACATATCACATTACTGGATTCCAGTGTCGGTAACTAAAATTTAGACAATATTTATGCCATATATCTAATAGTGACAGTCTATTATTGAACTCAGGTTTTCAGTCTGGTTGATTCTGTCATGTTAAGGACTTAGTATGGCAGATATAGTTTGTTAATTGGTGATGAGTAAGCTTGTAACAGGACATTAGTTAAAGAGCATTGATGATTAAATGTAGGTTTAGTGTAACTGCATTAATTTAGCCAATAAGTGCAAGTGCAGTCAAACTAGATCAAGATTATAGATTGTTATTGTTATTTATCATTGATTACTTTGCATCATAATGGAAAAAATATGCACTTATGCATTCTTGCCATGTCCTTACCTCAAGCAACATTAATAAAATAATAATAAATTATTTTAAGATGGTATAAAAATACATGCATAACAAATAATGGCCATAGGCAAGAACACTAGTTTACTTACTCTGTTCTGTTTATCAGGAAAGGGAGAACAAAAAAGCAAGAACATTTAGAACAAAATCCATCACTGCCAAACCCATAAGCATTATATATCCAAATTATTTAAAAGTTGAATAAACTGCCTCAATAAACTCTCTAAAACCCTGCACATGCAAAGGGAGATCACCAAGATGCAAACACAGAACACCAAAAAATCACCAGATATAAAGCTAAGACATTGAATGGTGATGTAGTTCACACAGACAACAATTTCAACTGTTCACACACCTTAAGACATCCACTGGAAGTCTTGGACAAACACAGTTTTCTTTTGAATTTAGCATATTTGTTCTAATCTAGACTTTACCTAATTCATTCAGACTAGAATGAATTTGATAAAGCCCATGCAAAAAAAAAAAAAATCATCTAACAATACTTAAAATAGTTATTGTTAATACTAAATTTGTCTTTGGTTGATATATAGTTTACCTTGAGGAGCGTCATGCATGGAGAGCTTGACTTTGTACTGTGTTTCCCCGCGTTCATTTGCTACTACCAGCAAGTAATTCTTGTTAACATCCGCTTCTGTGAAACCACTGATGAGAAGCTTTGCTGTGTACATGCCATTACCCAAGTCCTGGAAATAATAAAAAATATGATAAATATAATATGGCAAAGATTTCACATTAATATACTAACAAAAATTTGAACATTGCATAACCATTAATTTAATAAAAATACAGTAATGCTCACCTAATCTCCTTTTTATAGCACTCCTATTATTTATTCTACTAAATTTGTAATCTGTGGTATTTATATCACATTTTCCCAAGGACCTCTATGTCAGCATTCCTCAACCAGGGGTTAGATTCACGAAGCAGTTACGCAAGTACTGTACTTACGAACAAGTACATCTTTCTTCAATCTCTGATGACTTTGGTTACTTTTATTAAACAGTTTACAAGCATGAAAACTTCCCAGTCAACTTTTGTTATTGTTATAAACAGCCTTCTGGTGCTTCGGAGCTCATTAACTGTTTAATAATTGGAAACAAAGCCACCAAAGATTGACAAAAGATGTACAGGTTCGTAAGTGCTTGTGTAACTGCTTCGTGAATCTGGCCCCAGGATTCTGCAGAACCCAAAGATAACTAGGGGTTCTGCAAGAGTAAGATGAATACAGTAGGCTAATTCTAACCATTTGTAAATGTTTCTGAGACATTTTTGTGTTAAAAATTTTCTCATTTAATGAGTACCAGGAGCACAGACAGAAATAGCGTCCTTTCAGTCGACATTGAATCCATGCGTGTTTAGCTAAAGTACGACCCAGAATTATTTCAAGAAATTATTATTTTAAAGGGTTGAGAAGCACTGCTCTATGCCATTACCTCAACAAGTATTATTAAAAAATACAACTACCGGGGTAGTTTATCTATACAGCCTCATTTTTGCCACTTTCTTTAATATGACTAATATTGTCATTACCTGAAATCTAACAGTAGGGCCTGCCAACATGTACACTAAAATATGTCCTATTTTTAAGTACAGTACTATGACTGAAATGAATGTCTGTTAAATTCTAAATTGTTGCAAATTCTTGTTATATATCACTGCATTTGCTTTATGACTAACCCAAAATCAATGTATAGTATTGGTTTTGCAAGAACAGACCTGTACCTACTTAATCACTTCATTAATATTAATTTTGGAGCTATCAACTGTACTAACATGAATGTACTGCATTTACACACACAAATACAAATAAATAATTTATGAATAAATAAGTTACCAGAACATACTGTATGCATATAAATATATATCTAAAACTTAGTACAGAACTGTAGTAACAACTTGCCTCAATGTCTGTTGTGTAATGACCATCTGATCCAGGAATGACAAGAGAGCCTTCAATACTCTCAAAACTTGTACCGTATCTCCATTCCTTTTTAATGGGTTCTGGGTTGGCAGAAAAATTTAGTTTCACCTCATAATCACTGCCAGGAGTGATCTGATAAAAAGTACTAACAGGCTTTTCCACGGGTTTAACTGAAAAAGTAAGAATGATTGTTGATTTATTCCATTCATATTCACCAAGAACAACTGAAATACAAGTTTATCCATAGTTTATCCATAATCACTCTTATGCTTCACTTGAACCCCCTGTCCCCTACTGAAGCTTAAAAAGAAGTTTGGAAATGCAGTTATTCAAAAAAATCAAATATAATACCTGTACTGTATAGTGAATTAATTTATTAAGAACACTAGACTATACCGACAGGTTAAAACAACGCTTAAGAGAAGGAGCAGAAGTACATAAATCACTTTGTATATGATACATGGAATAGGGTTATGTATGGTGTCTATTTAGGAGTCTAAGCCATTCTGCGTCACTTCTAAGAAATTTTTACCCTAATTCATTCTGTCAAGCTATACAATAATCTCTGGCCTTTCCCTGCCACCATATATCACACACCTTAGATGTCCACTGACGTCTTGTAGGAAACAGGAAAGATGTTTATAAACGTTATTAGTAGCCTAAGTGTTGAAATCTTTGCCGTTGTAAATACTGTATACAGTATGCCCTAATGCCCAATAATTTGTACATCCTGTCAATAATTAAGTAACTAACACCTTTTAACAAATCTTTTATGAAGTACTGTACGTTGATTTGATAATATTACATGTACTTTTTTCATTGCTCCAAGACATCATCACATTTTGAAAACGGCGATGAAAATATAAATGAAATTAAAGAAAAAAGCTATGCGTCGTGGGAAATAATATTTCCCACGACGTCATGTGGAAAAAGTCATGTGGATAATATTTGTAGTTCTAGGGATTGTCGTCCCCCACCAAATGGGGCAAAGTATGTTGAAAGGTATAAAAGAAGCTAGAGATCAGCTCTGGAAAAGAACTACAAAAGAAGACAAAGTTAGACTTTTTTGCCACTTCCAATGTAGAACTGCAAGAACAAATATGGTTAAATTTCAGAATTGTAAAGGTGGAATGAAAGTTTATAATTATGCCCTAGTATGCACCAATGTTCTTGGAAGTAAGTACAGTACATTACACCAAGAGCTGTCTGGAAAGCATCTGGATACTTACAAACAACATTCAGAGGTATACTGGTGTTTTCTGGAGTGAGAAGTGTCTTGTGTGTGATGCTGCACATTAATAGCTTTCCATTTTCTGAAGGCTGAAAAGTACGTCTCAAGGTTGAGACACTCTTGTATATTCCCTGTAGAAAAAAATATAAGTATATTATGACCATAAATTAGTAAATCTGGATTAACAGCAAATTTAAAAAAATGTGAGTTTGAAAAGAACATTTTAAAATGCATTAAATTTGTGTACATTGTGCTTATGGTATACCGTAGGCTTGGTCGACGACCAGGCAGCGGGGACGCTGAGCCCAGAAACACCCAAGATAACTTCAAGGTAAGGTACAATACAGTACTGTATTCAAATGTACCACAACGTTCAGAAATGTGTTGCAAACATTTATCAATAATAAATAGTATAATCAGGGTAAGACGGCTACAATAACCATACTTTTTAGCAAGCTATATCCTTACTGTTCTTTTCCCATTGTGTCAGACTATAAATTATATACAGTACAGTATCTCACTATGCTTCAGCTGAGTGTAATTATTTAACACCATTATTATAATAACAGCTATTCGTGAAATTCTGCTGGTATCCAGAATTGTATCTTATTGAAATTTTGACACTGGAAAGTATTTACAATACTATACTTTCCATCCATTGTGCATGTGTTTCATCAGACAGGAAGCAGGCTTTCTATCCAATGTCTAGAATGGAAAGCCTGCTTAGCCAACTGAGGTCCCTCTATAACCAAAGGCAAGGCTGTCCATGGAAATGGCCATCAGTGATGGCCTAAGCTTTCCTGTTGAATGGCATGCACATCGCCCATTGAAGCTTTTTTGGGCAATTTTTCCTGCCAAACTAGAATTGCTAATTGTTGTTAAACAACTCATTACCACTAATTGGATATATATATAGTGCACAATATAATAATAATAATCTAAAGAATTAAAGCTTCACACGAGTGAAGGAGTGCAAAAAGATACGTGAATTCAGAGACAACTCTATAACAATTATTCAAGATGTGTGTAAATATTTCATTACATTTCATTTCATTCATTCGCGTGGATCGTGGACCGGGTCGGGAGAGGGAGTGAGAGCGAGACCTGACTTTTCGGCCCTTTTTATGCCACCCAGGCTGGCCGCACTGCGCCTTGCGGAACGCGATGCGCAAATGTCTCTTCCTTCCCCATCAGAAACTCCACCGCCTTTCGTTCAAAAGGCAGTGGCCATTTGCTTAGCTATATGAATTGTGGGGCTCAGTCCCTGAGCCCATTATGTGCCTCTGTAACCCGTTCCACTACCGTGTGTAGGTTTGACCAGTCCAGCAACGAGGAGGCCTGGTCAACTGCCAGGCCGCGGGGACGCTAAGCCCTTGAAACACTTCAAGATAAGGTACCACCCACAAGATAGGTATATGGTGCATGATAAATGAACTAAACTAAACAACACAAGTTATACAAATACTGTACCGCACACAACTTTATCTGTTCTTCAGCATTCCCTACTTTAGAATACATTTACATCTTAAAATTCTTAAAATGCAAAAATTCTTACATCTTAAAATGATTTTCATTAATTTTTCAGCATCTAATAATTTTGTACTATCTACTCACAATATGTATTAACTTTGAAATCAACACGAGTTATACAAATACAAGGTAAATAATCATTCTCACCCCTTTGTCTGTTGGAGTTTCTTCTGTTTCAGCAAACGTGGTAATATCTCTGTCTCCCAGATACCAACGAATACCAACAGCCGGTCTGGCTGCAGCTACAGAGCATTTGACTGGTTTCTCGTCCTCACTCGTCACTTCCAAACCTCCACTGCTCGTATCTACTTCAAGGATTGGACTTGTTGGCTTGACTGAAAAATAATGAAATGCAGAAAATTTAGATATTTCAAAGTTTCATATTGTACATCCACATTTAACAATACATGCGCCACAATGAAAGTTTGTCCTAACAAAGCCAATACTGCATTTATTTATTTAATGAAACCTTCCCAGAAGTCTCAAAATGTTTAGTTTGCTTGTAATACTACAATAAAGCCTAGTTTTCTAGCTACATTTTGAGCTCAATTTGAATGAAATAATGAAATTTTATAATTGTTTTCTATTATTTACCAATGACGGGGGGAGGGGGGGGAGAGAGATGGGGAGAGAATGAATAAGTCAATATTGACTTATTAAATATGTGCATAGGTGACATACTTAACATAATAGATACCCTTAAAAAGATTCATAGAAAACACCGACCTTACCTAACCTTGTTAGTATCTTAAGATAAGCATCTTATTGCTTCGTAATTACAATTATTACCTAACCTATAATAGGTATAGGTTAAGTAATAATTGTAATTACGAAGCAATAAGATGCTTATCTTAAGATACTAACAAGGTTAGGTAAGGTCGGTGTTTTCTATGAATCTTTTTAAGGGTATCTATTATATTTAGTATATCACCTATGCACGTAGTTAATAATTCAATATTGACTTTACGAATTTGCGAGAACGCGTTGGAGAATGGATATACGTACTGTACTTGAGTTCCTAACTACAGTAGTATTTTTTCTTTGAAAACGTTTAACATGATAAAATTAATTACGTACAAATAATTGGAAAGTATATACAAATAGGACAGTAGTACAGTCGGGTTCGTTCTCAATTCACAATCAAGAATCCCGGGTTCACATCCCAGGCGGCACAGAAATGGTCAGGCATGTTTCCTGCCAGTAAATAGGTACCCTGGAATCAAATCAGCTTGTTGAAAGAGAAATACAAAAAGAGTAGTAGTATATACGAATACTACCACCATTCTACTCCAATTAATATAATTTCCCAAGTGGTTAAATAACTGCCACACAAGCTAAATTGAAATAGCAATGTATCAAGTAATAAGTAATTTATGGCTTACTGGTAACAATGACATTCTTGGATCCAACGAGAGACTTGCCAACAACAAAGACTTTACACGTCCACCGGCCGTGGTGACCAATGTCAGCAGAGTTTATAACAATGCCACATTCATTCCCTACTGTGTTCGCTGGCTTGCTCACTCCATCGTAAACATTGCTGTACACATCTTCCACCTGTAGGAGAAACAAGTTTATTGTGAAGCAAAGAGCACATGATATGAATTACAAACATTTACACCCCAACTATCCACACATTTTATAATGTTTCTGAATGGCATCGTACGGTTGGCAGGAGTGTCTGAAAGGTTGTCCAGAAGCGCTATTGGGCTAATGACAAGAGCCATAGTTTGATAGGTTAGCTATCCTAACGCGCCCCATGAGTACTTTCACACACCGAGCGGTAGACGGTTGTAACATGCTAGGTGAGAAGGTGGTGGGGTCCAAAACTGTTAGAAGTTTCACTGTTATAAGACAAAGAGTACCAGGAAGATTGGACACTATGAGCGTAGCTCTCTCCTCTAACTACACTTGGGAACAGTTTTTTTCCGGATTGGCCAGTACAAGAAAGACAAAAAGAGATTGATCAAAGTAGTATTCAGGAACGAGGGCACCAAAGAGGACTTTACTGCCCAAAACGCTTTGCGTAATAGTGGCTTTAGGCAAGTTGTATGTACTAGCTCTATCTATAAATCCATCAACTTTTGTATCTTACCTTGTATGTATGTACCTTACCTGAATAAAAATTTATTTATTTATTTATTTATTTACTAGTGAAGAAGAGCAAACTGAAAAATGCAAGGAATTACAGCGAGGTATACCTTCAGAGGGACATGAGCAGAGATGAGATAATAAGGGCAGCAGATGCAAGGAAAAGGCGCAGGAAGAGGGAAGGGAGCCAGGGAACCTCAACCTCCAACCCAGCAATCCCGGAGGGGAGTGAGGAACCCCAAATCCAGGCCTGACAGAATTTCACCGTGGATACTGAAGGAAGGTACAGAAGCACTAAGTGTGCCACTCTCTATGATGTATAACAGGTCACTGGAAACAGGAGACCTATTTGAAAGTTGGAAGACTGCTAACGTAGTCCCAATATACAAGGGTGACAGGCAAGAGGTACTGAATTACAGGCCAGTTTCCCTAACTTATATACCATGCAAGGTGATGGAGAAGATCGCGAGGAAAAGGCTTGTAGAGCATCTGGAGGGAAATAGCTTTGTGTTGTATTAGCTGAAATGCACGCAAAAGGTGTAACATAATCTTCATAATTTTGCACGAGACCATAAAGCATGGTAGAAGGTACAAAATCAAAATTTTGCTCAGGTTCTATTTGTTAAGAAGTCTGTGATCCTCTGCAGTCAGTGATAAGAGTGTGAAAAGATACGTGAATTTAGAGAGAGCTCTAACAAATGTCCAGGAAATGTGCAACTATGTCATTCAAAATAATCTACTACCAGAAATTTTAACCAAATATCATCAGTTTGTTAACTGTAGGTAGTATGGGCGATTGTAACCTGTGGAGAGATTATAATCGCCCACATTGGATGGATGGGGTGCGGTGTGCAGGATAAACGTAACAATTTTGAAACTAGCTCACCACATATGGAAGCTGCTTAGCTGTACTAGTGGTACTGTACTGCAGCTGTACTTAGACTGCACTACTGGTCGGTCTCGAACCCATAGTTGATATAACAATATACAGTACATTAAATTTTCTAACTACAGCTTATCGAGACTGTAACTTGCTTAGCTAAATGAATTATGGGGTTCAGTCCCTGAGCCCATTATGTGCCTCTGAAACCTTTTCCACTACCCTAACAGAGGATGGGTATGGGGTGCATAATAAATTAACTACAACAAGCTATTGTAGTTATGGTGGCCTTACATTTTAAGTTAGGAATTATGTTGATAGAGGATTAGGCAATATATATTATAGCTATTATTCCCACAGTAAAGTACGTGAAATATTCTAGTTTGTAATTTCCATCTTCTGAAACTTTCACTGTCACTGCCTTGGAAAATAGCATTGTCATTTGTGACAGCTTATAGGCTCCATGAGCATGATTAGATTACCATGAGCATGATTAGATTACCATGAGCATGATTAGATTACCATGAGCATGATTAGATTACCATGAGCATGATTAGATTACCATGAGCATGATTAGGTTACCATGAGCCTATACTATATTTCATCTTTTCCCAAAGTTCAGCGTCTTAATTTGCCCAATGTTCTCATTGCTCTCTTGTTTCAGGCTGCGATGGTTGGGTAGACAAGTCCTGTACCATGGTACAGTGGACCTGTACCATGGTACAGTGGATGAAGGTTCTCTACTTGGTACAGAAGGCTTTAGTGATCCCGATTTAATTAAGCCTAATGCAGAGTCCGTGTTGTTTGCAGATAAGGGGTCGGTGAAGGGTAAGGAGAGTAGAGAGAAGGGCAGGGAAACATATACGGCAGATGTGGAGTGTAGGATAGGGAGTGGTGGGATGGAGCCAGGAAGCCCAGAGAGGTATGAAGATTAGCGAGTGATCCATAATGGATGGAGGATGAGCTTTGTCTAGTAGGGAGGAGGAGGAGTCAGGGATTTACAGGTTGGGTGAATTTGACCACAACCTGAATGAGTCCCTTATTCTTGCGTATAATCAATTTAATTAGTATCATGTCAGTTTCAAGATGTATGAAAATGAGATCTGGCGTGTGCCGAATATCCTCTTGGTAGACAGATTTTGAGATATATTAACTGATACAAATTTACCCAAAATATCTGAAGTGAGCAAGGATGGTTAATCTCAGCACAACATTGGAAGTTGCGTTTATAATCCTTCAGCTTCGTTATTGTGGCTTCATCGTCTGCATAAAAATACTTTCACGGAATGGGGAGAAATCTAATATGATTTGCACTTTCAGTATCATTACCAGCATCCGCCTATTCATGCCAATGGTTAGGTTTAATATAAAATGATTGTGGTCAGTTAATAATGGGTTAATAATTTGACCAGGTCCTGGAGAGTCGATATAATTGCAGGCTCTTACCTGAAGAATCTGATTGTTTTCATTCTCCCAGATACAGTAACGTCTTTCGCCTTGGACGCCACAGTCTAGGTTGAGCTGGTCCCCGGGGTTGACAACTATCTCCGAGGGATCAAATATGAGTGACACGTCTGCGCTCCGAACTCCTGTAAAGGTAAATGGTGGTTAATTATCTTCATACTGTGTGCGGATGCAGCTAAACTGTGTGTGTGCTTTTTACACACTTGATAAACTGGGTAATATCTTGCCAATAATTCTCAAAAGAGAACTGTGTACTACTTTCTAATTTCGTTGTACGTCGGTACAATGTACAACGGTACAATGTACAACGGTACAATGGTCCTCATCGTTACTATAAGTACTACCAAAACAGGAGGATGGGCTGGAATATACATAATTTTACAAGGAAATATATTTCATTATATAATGAGCCTAACAATAAATAATAGAAATTATAATCACCCAAAAATTTTAAATCTTAAAATTCCGTAATTAAAACGATTATTTTACTTTCTATAATATTGGTAATTAATGTAGAATGTGAATGATCATAATTTTGCTTGGATATATGCCTATTTTATACCGAAATGTTTTATGAACAAAAAACAGAGATGTAGAATTACTCAAAGATTCTTAAAACTCTAAAAAAAAAAAAGCGTGAATCAACACAATTTTAATATTAAACACGCATATTTTATAACGAAATATGGCCAAAAATGGAAGCGTATAATTACCCGTAACTATCCAAATATTTCTAAAATTATGGCACTAAATTTGACATAAAATATTTTACTCTAATATTAGAAATGAATGTAGAACGTGTACCTTTACTAGGAAATATGCTTATTTTGTTGTGAAAAATAAAAAAAATTTTAATTACGTAAATAAACAAAAAATGTAAATGTTCAATTTTCATACTATAATACTGGTAAGAATGTAAAACAAATATAATTTGACTACGAAATAGGCTCATTTTATAACGAAATCAGACCAAAAATAGAAACGTATAAATTTGAAACTACTTATTTATTTATTTATGCACATACAAGAAGGTACATTGGGATTGTGAGGATACATAATATGGTAATTACAATCTTGTAAAGCCACTAGTACGCGCAGCGTTTCGGGCAGACCTAGGGCAGGCCTAGGGCAGGCCTAGGGCAGGCCTAGGGCAGACTTATGGTTTTGGCATCCACCACATTATGTAACATGAGGCTGAGAGTCCCCAGGTCTTCACTACCAACAAAAAATAGCTGTTTACCTTGACAGTTTGCCATACACAGAGTGTGAGTAAAGTCTATTAGCAAACATTAATTACAAACATCTAGGAACTTCACGCCATAAGAGCTTCCACGGAAGATATTACGTATTAAACCAAGAGCAAACGATAAACTAATATAAATGGCCAACATAGCTTGAAGGAACCACAGAGGTGATCAAATACAGCAGTTCTCTTAGCAAAATGTTTAATTTATGTCTAGGCAGGGCCGTCTTAGTAGCACTGTAGGCCCCCCCCCTTTTTGAGTAAAGAGGAAGGAGAGGCATAGGTGAAGGGAAGTATAGAAGTGGGAAATACAGTGAGAGGTATGAAAGCAGGCGGGCTGACCGCCTTGCTGACACGATGTGTGGGTGTTGGCAGCTAGGCTAAGCTGGCTCCCTCTTGTCAGGGAGCTGTGAGTGTGTGAGAAGTTCTCCACATGTGTTTCACCATATATGGATGTCTATAGATGAACACTGTAGCATTCATATATATACACCCCGATGCTTCCACACATGTTGTTCTGTTTAAGGCTCTTTATTTTATTATTATTATTTATTGAGTTGTTCATACATACACATATACATATACATATGCATATACACAACTATACACACATACACATACTAAATTTTTTCAATTATGGGGGAAGGATATCTGGTCAGTATTTCATCTGGGAATTATGTACTGTGGGGCGGGGTTTGCATCTAGTAAATCGAGGCTCTTGGGCCACCAGCCGTGGGAGCGGGGCGTCTCATCTTGGAGCAATCTTTCTAACATTGGGTCCTCTAATATTTCGATGGTGTTCCACACCCTGATGGCTTGGTGCTGCAGTCTGATGTTTAGTGGCTGTATGTTCAGGAGCACATGGAGCTCATGGATTGTCTGATCATATGGTGGACGGTGTTTTGCTGCTCTCCTTAGCGCCTTATTTTGCACTGCTTGCAGTTTCTGCATGTTAGTTTTCTGTAGGCTCCTGGGCAAAGCAATGCGCTGGGGCCCCCTACCCAGACGATCGGCACTGGGGGTCCCCCCTCCCCAGAAGATGGGCAATAGGGGGCCCCATACCCAGCCTAGAGATCTGTGGGCCCCCTGAGCAATATGGACAATATGGCAGCATGGGGCCCTTTAGAATCATAGAGCCGCTGGGCAATAGTGCAGTGTGTCCATACGTTAAGACGGCACTACGTCTAGGGATAATTTGAAGCTTGGGTATGGCAATTCTGGTATGGAGAAGTTCTTTGTCAAAGATAGCCACCAGGCCCAATTTGTCTAAAACCGGGAATGGTCTATATCTCGGGAAAGGTCACTTTTGACTAAAAACAACAGAGGACCACAATTATTCAGAACTTGTTTAGCAAGTTCCCAGTGGTCACAATATCCAGGAGTGGCGTTGGTTCAACGTTTTGATTAAAACACTGAATCAACGTTGATTCGGCGTTGTTCTTGGATATTGTGCCCATTGGGTAGTAGTAGTCATCCGACACTTGCAACGTTAACAGCGTGATTTGAAGGAACAGTCTTTCATCAGTCTTGAAGAATTCAACTTTGTCGTCTTGTAGTTTAAGAGCTTCCTCAACAATACCGCTCACATACACAACTATTCTTGCAAGTCTGTCTTTTGTAATTTATAAATTGTGCTGTAGGAGATAGATTCGAAACAATTTCTGAAGTTATATTTTGAATTGATGCCTAAAAAGATTCCATGTCTTTGAGTAAGGCTGTAATACTGCTTGATTATTGTCAGGTTAATAGGATCTTTTTCATGAGTTCACACGAGAAACCACTTAGTACTACACGAAACACTAGAAAAAGCATATCACAAATGTATTTGTGTACTATCACAAATCTTCGAGGCTTCAATTATTTTTTTATCTGTTAAGATGATTTATAAAGTGGATTCTACCGGTAAAGGATCTTTGCACGCTCTCTATTTCACCAATTTCTCCGGCTATGAATGGGACTATTAGAGTGCAACAATATTCCACCCTAGAAAACACTAGTGTCTTGAAAAGTATCTTCATTGGTATGGCATGCTTTGTCCGGAAGGTCCTTGTTATCCTAGCTGCCATTTTCTTTTGCAGTCATGACAGCTACTCTATGGTGTTCTGTAAAGGTAACGTTTTCATATGATTATTCCTAGATCCTTTACATTGCTTTTTCGTTCTATAGTGATTTGATTCCGTTTTATATATGGTTTCAGTTTTTAAATTTGCATTTTTTCCATAGCGCAGGAGCTGCAACTTATTTTCATTAAACATCATATTATTATCTGTGGCCCATTGAAAGACCAGATTTACATCCGATTGGAGGTTTGCCGTGTTGCCATCTGGGAGGCCATCACATACTGAGGCACATAATGTGCTCAGGGACCGAACCCCAAAATTAATTTAAATAAGCCACTTAGTCTTGATAAGCTAGTTACAAAATGTAATGGGTATCGTTACATCGACAACTGGGTACAGGCCTAGTTCTTTATACGGACTCCCCACTCAAAACATAAGCCCTCACCCATTGTCTGGACAACTTCACTTCCAGATGCACCCATGGGGCAGTGTAGGGAACCATCAGTATATAAGGTTTTAAAGACCAAATGCTCTGTGAACAGAGTATCAGTATAGCTTAAAGGCGTTGATCTTTGCCTCAAGAGGATGCTTGGACTGATCTTTAATATACTTCTTGGGTGGAAAGAGAGGGATTCAAATTAGAAAGGGGGTAATTTCTCACGGTACAGGAAAGTGCCGTTGTTATCTCTCCTGGCACTCTCCTGCTACAACTTATAAATCTGAAACATTCTGTGTGCAGTTCCAGTTTTAGTTATCCATTTTGAACAATGTTGATCTTCAATAAAGAAATTCTGGAGGGTTTCTGAGCAAGGGTTAGGATGAGCTAGTATTTTTAAACCACTTTGACAGTTAATGTCAGTAAGATGATCAATGACGCTCTAGGAAATGTATATGTTTATCTCTCAGAATGTTTGGTAATGTTTATTGTTTGTGATGTGTGTCTATGTATGTATTAACACGATGTACTGAACGGGGTGAGTTAACTTGAGCTACCTCATCCCTTTGTGTGTATTTTACCTCAATAAACTTATTTCAATTTCAATGACGCTCAGAATATTAAGTTCCTGAATATATGGGAAAAAAATCTTCCGGTGCCAGAATTGCGAACCCAACGCAGGAATTATCCGTAAGCATCATGTACACATTACATGAAGACAACAGAAAACACAAATAACGGAAAAACTATTACAAATACAAAACAAAAAAACTGCTACCCACAATAATAATGCAATGTGTGCGTGACTATACTACTAATCGAAAATATCAATATTGCTTGAACATTTAAAAGGTTATATATTATATATATACAATATATATTCTTTTTTGGAACAAAACCTGTTATGCTGATTCATAGGCATATCTTATAAGAAATTTGAAGCTAATATTTAATGGAAGGCGCTAACCCTGGGAATATCTGAGAGCAAAACTTACAGCACAACAATATAGTGAAAATTTCCACAGTGGGAGACCAGGTCGACGTTAATGTGTGGTTGTGTAGGAGAGGCGAGACTGATGATAGTGTAGAGGAGGGTGTTGGCGTAGGAAGGACATACGCGAGTGTGTGTGTCCGGTGCTACGTCATGTATCGCTGTCGCTGGCGAAAAATGTATCCGACCTTATTCACACAGTATTTAAAATGTATTCCTATCAAAATGCATTCTTACTTAAATCTACATCTGTTCAACCACTAAAGGAAATGATAAATTCTTATAGCTAAATTTGAAGTTTATACTTATTTACTGATTATAACATATCTTTCTAAGTATATAGACATAAAATGTCTAAGTATCTTTCTTCCAATACGCTAAAGTAATATCAAATG